AATTCAAATAGTATGCGTGCTCTGATTGGCCATAAAACCATTTTACATGAGCGTTTATAAATACGGTTTTCGTTCCTCTTTCATTAGTTATTTTATAAAAGAAATGTAAAATGGTTTCCGTGTTTACATAGCCTGATGTAAACACGCGGGAGGTTGGGAGAACTCGAGATAAGCGTAGGAAACCACGACGCGAAGCGGAAACCGAACGGAAACCATTTTACATTTCTTCATTTGGATGCAGAATGCCTCTAATTTGATCTGCTCTCACAATTTTGCAACTAAAGAAGCTCTTGATTGTTAAACAAATTCTCCTTATTATCACCTGATAGGATACATAGAGAACAATATGGAGAATATAAAGGGTTAACAGTAAAGACCAAGGTACACAATTCGGAGAAACCAATCTTAAATTCAGTATCACTACGTACTTTTATTACTTTTGCAAACAACATCTGTGCTTATCTTTCCTATTACAAAATGCAACAATCTTCTCTGTTAATTATGTATATTATTATCTACAACGCTTACAAAATGCACTGAAACATATGCGCAACCCAAAAAATAGTTCATACAATCCAACATTTTGTAGCAAATATCTTCTGATAAACAATTAACATTAACAAACCAATTTGAAAACAATGGTTTCAATAAATATTCTCAGAGTTAATTCAAGAGAAAAACTAATTCTTGTCATAAACTCTGAACCACTTCAATAAATTTAATCAATCTATCAACAGAATTCTGTGCGGATTTGTTGCTGGCTGAGAGTTCACTTTTGGCCTGCATCTGTTCCTAAGTTCAAATAAAAACAAAAGGACAGATTCTTTAAAATTTAGTCCATCTAACTATGAACTTAAATTTTGTATTACAGACTGTAGTTGGTAGTGGTGACTGACCATTCAACAACTTGAGCAGAAAGGTTTGTATTTTTAAACAAAAGGTAAAATACTTATCAAAACTATTGCAAGCATTCCAAAGAAGCAACATATAGCTGATTTTGTCAGTATTGCCCTGAAGACATCTCAACCCTCAATGCAGATCATTAATTTCCAACTAAAAACCAAAGATGTTTTTCTTTTTTCTTTTTTTTTTTTGCTATGGCTGTTTATTGAGATGAATCAAAACCTAGTTATAGTTGCAGCAAACACTTTAAATCAAATACATCAAGTGGCTAAGATTTCCAACTGAGAGACAAAATTCACACTTAAATAATTTGGAAAGGTGTGTTTTGCTCATGAACACAACAATACTCCTTTCCTTGGTCTTAAGCCATAATTTTTTTGTAAGTGGATGCAAAAGACAAAATTGAAAAATTGTCCAAAAGAATTGTCCCCCTCTCTACCAAAAAAAAAAAAAAAGTCCGCAGCAAAACAAAAGGAAAAAAATCATATGCACAGACAGTAACAGAGAAAAAGAAAGTTCATTTTTAAAGTCTTTCTATTCCTACTCCCAAAAGTTAAAAAAAATTGTTTGTCCCTTGGCTGCACTCCAAAGGCCTTAAAGTAACCTTACCATGATTGCATTACTGAGCTGCTTAGCTTTGGCCTCTAGTTCAACTCTCTCTGCTTTTAACTCTTCACTTCTTTTTAAGAGTTTATTCTTTTCTTCTTCTTTTGCTAAATAAGAGGGAAATGGTGATATACAAATTAATCATATATAAATAAAACTATATGTGAGTAGACTTTACTCCTTCCTGTTTGGCTGATAATTGAAATGGATGTGTGACTTACATTTGAGCAGGGTGTGAATGAAGTTTGGAAAACACAACTGACATTAAAAATCCTGCTTATTACACGAGAAGCTGGCTCCATTACCAGTGGCAACAGGTTTTCACAATCAATAGTCACTATTAAAAATGAGGAAAGGTGTGATGACAGCACCATTATTTTACATCCAATACCCTGTCACCAAACTTTTTCCACAACTTGTTTACCTAATAATTGTAGTGTAATAGTTAACTTCACAAATGAATATTCTTTTTACCTGTTTTGTGAGCTAAGTATGAATGTACCACTGCTAATGTACCAGGCCAAGGCATGGGTTCATCCTCTTTGACCCTTTCCTAAAATAAAAACAAAGGCACTGTTAACCCTTTAACTCCCAAGATCTGATTGTTAATTCTCCCCTTTAGCTGCTACAAATATCCTCGTAAATTAGTCATGAGAATTTGGTGTAAGATCAAGATAACAACTTCTACCTGATAAGTTTAAATATTCTCATGACCTGTTTGCTGGATGAAGTACGGATATTATAGGGAGAAGTTTCATGTTGATCACTTCAGGGAGTTAAAGGGTTAAGTCTGCAACGACGTTGGATGTCTGCACTCAAAATTTTTCTCAGAGGAAGTTTAGTTGATCCCTGAATGTAAAGATGCTGTTTACAGACAATAAGGACTTTTGAATAACTGTAATACCTAATTACTTCCAAAAATGAGGGTATGCATATAGCTGGATCACGAAAAGGCCTTAATTCAAACCAGCCAAATATAACAATTTTACAGAAATGTGATCCTCACCCGACACTTAGGACAAAGCCACATGCCAGGAGGAACAGAGGTTAGCGGAGGATCTAGACAGCTCATGTGATAAACTAAATTACAAGTGTCACAAAGCAGTAGTTCTCCACTCTCTTTACAGATGGCACATACTTCATCATGATTATCATCCTACAGATAAAAAGAAATGAGAATTTGTGGGGGCAAGTAAACATTTTTGGCCAAATCAATTGACTCTTTCATTATATGATTGATTGCAGGAAAAAGTGTATATGCTACAAACTTGAGCTATTCATTGTTAAACATATATACCCTTTGATAATGACCAAAAGAGTTTAATGTTTAAATGTTCCTCAGATCCAATCTGGGCCAACGCTTTTGGAATGTTTCATAACAAACAAGGAAATATACTTCTGATTGGCATTAATTATTTTCATAAGCAAACACCAAATATTTCAGTATTGACCTCACATGTAGGATCACTATCATTGAGAAAAAATGTACAAAATGACTGCAAGTCTTCAAATTGGTTACATGCAAATGTTGAAACAAAAAGTGTTATTGCCAAGTAAATTTATCTTCCAAACATTTTTTAAAAGGGAAAACTGAAATACAAACTTTTTGTGACCCTTGAATAGAATTCCATGTAATACAATAACTATAAAATGAAAAGTTTATTACCTCATCAACTGGAGAATCCATTGTAACAAAGCGCTTGTATTTAAATTTTTTGAGCTTTCCATTTTCAGCAAAACCATTAGGGATAGGTGAAGTAGGTTTTGGTGAGTTTGGTGCACTGTTGAACTTGGGAGGTCGACCTCTGCCTCTTTTAACTGGTAACATTGTTATCTTCTTAATTCGTTTGGGCTAGGAGAGGAGAAAGAAATCATGCATTGGTATAAAGCAAAAGTATGCACATATATCAGAGTGGGAAACATGAAGATCTGAGATTCCACTGCTAATGAGGACTCCAAAATTCTTCTTTGTTCCTCCCTTTAAACAATACAAATAACGTCCTTCTAGTATATACATCCTACAACAGCTAACAGTTGAAAACAAAATTAACATTCTCATCCCATGTTTTGACACACTCTGTTATCCTTATTACTAACTCCAGATATAGCCACAGATATGACTCCTGGCTCTCATCTATGTCTCGATCCTTGTTCATTTTTTTTAAAATTGGAGACATGCTCATTGTTAAGATTACAAAACTCCAAAAGGGTAGCATAGCATAAGCTTATTATAAGAGTGAGCCACATTACCCCGGTAAGGATTTTAAACCACAACATGAATCAGTGTATTTTGAGGCATTTAGTAGCTTAAAAACAGTGTGTTATTTACAATACAGTTTAAACTGATCATTAGAATCACAATGAATCCATTAACTCACATAGCTCACCTCTGGGTCTATATCTAGTGCATTCTGTGGAGATATACAAGTACTCCTTCTTTTCCGTTCTTGTCTCTTGAGCTGAATTTCTGCCAAAATATGACAACAAAACCAAATCATTGTAAAAATAGAGAGCCAAAAGCATGCGTGTATAGTTTTCCACACAAAGTAGTGATTTTTTTTTTTGCAATCATACAAAACAAATTTAAATTTATTGGCATAGAGACATCAATATTGCAATCCTAGCACCTTTGACTGCCAGTTTTATCTCTTGTCAGAGGCAGATTAACTGAAATCTACATCACAAATTCCTTGTGCCATTAGTATTATGATGTTGAAACATCTTTGAATTATAATGACTGAAGCAACAGCTTGTTATCACGCAAGCTTAACTCAAAACAGGAAAGAGGATAATGTTTCCAAATATAAAACATTCAATTTCTCCCTCTCTCTACATAATACAGTGGCAAGGTTGTGTTATGAAGCATAATAAGCTTCTATGTTCACTCAGTGTTAACTGCCAACATCTTAGGATGGAACATGAATTCCTATTTTCACAAAAATGCAGTCGTTTCAACACAAAAGTAAAGCAATATTTAGTCTAATGATGACTACACTGCATTTTTGTGAATTAATGCATAGAGAAAGATGAAAAAGCCGATGGAATGTTATTGAAAATAGGAAAAAACTGGCCAACCTTAATTTATCCGTAGAAATACAAAAGGAAAGGCAAACTACACCAATAATTTTCCACTAAAACTTTATCTGTCCTCAAACAAACTATCAGCCGTATTCATAACGCTTCACTTCCCATGAGCTATTCAAAGGATCCAAGCACCAATAGCCAAATACCTCTCAAAAGTGTTGAGACCACAAGGAATTTTGAGCCCTTAATTGGACACTAATACTGACAAATTACTATTTATATTCCATGGAAAAATATTGCCAATATTGTCTCTTGCAATGTACTGTATTGTAGATTTTGTTGATAATTGCATAAATAAGTTGAGCCATTATGTCCTTAACTCTTGCAAGCAGGATATTGCGCAAATTATTTCAAATTTGAAAACTTAGTTTTTCATCCTAGAGAATAAAGAAATCTTCTGTTCATGAGTTGAAAATAAATTGGCCAACTGCATACCATTTTTATATGGAAAAAGAAGAGAAAGTGGCAACTAGCTAAGTACCACTCACAAAAGAAGAACTATAACAGTTTAACTAGAACTAAAAATACACAGAAGTATATGATATATTTTAAAAGCTTCTCATCTAATCCAGGGGGGTAAACACCTTCAAAATTTCCATTCACAGCTCTTACCAATCAACGTCTGTGGTGTAATAAGTCCAAGAGCAGCCATGAACTCCATTTTCTACATCAAAAAGAAAAAAAATGGAGTGATATTGAAAGAAAGTGCAGATTCATGTAAAAAATATGAATAATCAACAATTTGAAATCATACCTGATTTCCACCATGGGATAATATTATGAATATCTCCATGCAAGATAATTAAAAAAAACAGCGTTTCGAGCATATTTGAGATTAAATATGTAAAATTATTTATCAAAAGAATCTCTTTGACCTAATATGATATCAAACACTTTTAACTCTTCAACCCCTACGAGTGATAAGCATCTAATTTCTTCTGACAGTATCACCCCTAAATCAAACAATTAAGTCACAAGAATAGAGGATATTATCACAAACTCAAGATGCTTTTGATTGTTACACAAATTCTCCTTGTAAGAACCACGGGAAATCTATACGAAACAGTATGGAGAATATGCATACTGATTGTAGGGTGTAAAAAGTTTACATGAATAGGACCCAGGTCAACATTAAGTTGAGAAAATGCTTTAAAATTAAGATGAAACCTGGAGAATTAATATCGAATAATGGTAGAGCTCCTATGATAAAAATCTTGTACCTTGGGTTCAATAGTCTTTATTGCTTGTTTTCCAGTATCCTGAATTGGTAAAGAATTGCTTTGAGGAGCGGGGCGTGGCAGTATTGGCTGAAGATGATGAGTAGGGAATGGTCTTCCACCATGTCTGAATGAACTCTGAGGAGCTCTGTTATTCTGTTGATAAGGTGTGGGAATATTAACTGAACCTTTCATTGAAGACTGAGGATGAACAGGAGAAAACATCGGGCTCATCTGCACACCGGCAATAGTCTATAAAATTCATGAAATAAATTGAGTAAGCAACAATAATAAATTAAACAAAGAGAACTGACCAAGATCTAGTGCGAAATTGATAACTAATGATGACAATTAAGACATTGTGAACCTGGAGCTTGACCTCACTGAGAAGAGAGGGTCCTCTGTGCCTTAAAAATATAACAGCCTGCCATTCTAAACTATAAAGGGGGTAAGTTTCTAGAGAAACTGTCATGCTGCATCAGTGGGATAGTTTCAAAGCTGATATTTTGAGGATTAGCCCTTTGTCAGAAAAGAATAAATTAGTTGAATGAAAAGTACTCATTGATACCATGGGAATTGAGAGTGCTGATTTGAAATAAATTTATCTTTCAATCCCTCCATTCACTCTGACAAAGGGCTGTTGCTCAAAATGTCAGCTTTGAAACTCTTTACAGTGGCCAATTTAAGTTATCAACTCTGTTGATAATACTGCAATTCTAAACTACCTAATTGTACCATATTTTATTGAAACCAGAACAATATATCTTTTTTTTAATAAAGAAGTAAATATCATCACCTGAGGGGTGACAAGAACCACAGGTGGTGGCTTTGGCTTTATTCTTGGAAGCTGGATCGGCAGCGGCTTCTGCTGAGAGGCAACCTTAAAGGGCTTAACATCCTGTGGTTCTGTTTTGATTGACATCTCCATTTTAATGGAAGGCTCTATTTTGACCAGAGGTTTACTCGATGCAAATACTGCTTCCTTGTTGTCCGGTGAGGTGATGTTGTTTGAATGGTTATCACTTAGTGGTGATTTTACATTGTTTTCCTACAATTAAGAAAAAAGTATTTAGTTATCTGTAGGAAATAAGAAAAACCCTTGCAAATGACTTAAAGAATTTATTTTGAAAACTGTGAACCATACATGGAATTCCATGAAGTTGAAAGTTATCGATCAGAGTTCAGAGTTCATCAAATAAACCCAGGCAAAACAAAAGGAAAAGTGCTCAAAGATGCTGGTATACATGGGTCTTCAAAAGGAAGGTGTGAAAGCAAGACAGCAAAAGACAACAACAAGATATAGAAGTTCTTTATGAAGAAAAACTGTGAAAATTATCTAGTAACATTGGCTTCAACTCACCTCTCCCCTAAATTCTGCTTTATTCATTAATTCTTGCCTCAACTGCTTCACAACATGACTCTGCAAAACAGTTATTAATAGTATAATGAAAATGCATCAGAACAATATCAACTAGCTAGTTTCAAACAAGAAAAAAAATGTCAGAACCTTGAAAGTGAACCCTTTATTTTTTATTTCCTTCCCCTTATTCTTCTTTTCTTTTTTCAAGACAACACAAATTCCCCAAATTAATTCTTGTTCAAAGTATTGTTGTTATCATATAAGATCAAAATATTTTTGGAAGCTAGAAAGGGAAAGTCTAAATAAGTTTATTATCTTTGAAGCTATAACAGAGGTAGAGAAGAGTCAAAAGTGACAGAGGGTCCAAAATGGAACAAAACAAATTTTTAACAGATGCAAAAAACGTCTCACAAATTGACAATCCACAGATACGAAAGCATCAAAATGTATGATCTCACTTCCGGTTCATCAGAGCATTGATCAACAAAGATCATGAACGCCGTAAAATCGTAGCGAATCGAAAACATGAAACGCTATTAGTTAAATCTTGTAATTCGAGCGTTTAGCGACAACTGTAGTAAAAAGAGAGAAAATAACAACATTACTTGACTTCACGACAAAACATTTTTCCTTGGCTGTGTCCACACCTGTAGCAAGTCCCACGGGACTTTGTCGCTTTTTGATTGGCTCCTATGAGCATGAATGCCCTGCATTTTAATTTTTCACCACCCTCTATGTCTCAGAGCAAAATCTCCTTCCTACATTTGCATGTGATTTTTTAATGGCTCTCCTTGCCACTTTCTTGGCCCTAAATAAACTCTCCTCTACGCCATAAACCTACCTGTTGTTCGCTTAAACTTGTAATATGGGCTTGAAGACTCTGTAACTTTTTCTGAAGGTCGGGATTCTGTAAAACAGAGATATCCGTGTTTGAAAATATTTCTCAAAAACTGCGTCGACGGAAAACAATTGAAACCCAACACACTGAAACATTCTGATCAAAAGAAGCGAAAATATATTTTACCTGTGGATCTGTCTTTATTTGATGAATAAGAATCTACAAAAATTGAGAGAAAACATCAGTGAAATCACAGCCAAGAACGAAACTCGAACCGACCGCCGCAATTTATGCATTTACTAGAAGTTCAAGTGAACTAATGGGGAGGTATACACAGCAAAATTGATTAAATATGTACCGTGTCGCTCGTTCGAGTTCGAAGAAATTCGCGGATTCGTTTCGCCGACAGAATACCCATTCTAGACCAAGAATGCTGTAATACGAACTACCATAATATTCTCTGTTCGAACCTACTGCCTATAACAGCCTGACGTAAATGAGCATTCGGGTAGTTAGAAAATCGCAAAAACCTTTTGCCTACCTAATCTGCATGCAAAACACTTGTGGACATAGTTTGTCAATCGCACTTCCGAATGGAAAATAGCCTACCTGGTGTTGCTGAAGTTGGCTTTTCAACTGCGACTGCAATTTCTCCAACTCCATCAAGCAGCGAGGGCCGTTGTTTGCGGGGATTTCTCGTTATCTATGAAAGGTTGAACGGTTAAGGGGTACCGTCCACGGGTCTCTGAAGGGAACTGAAATGACCAAATACGTACAGAAGCGAGAGAGCGCACTTGCAAGATCCCGGATGAAGGGTGCTTCTTACTACGGCTAGAACGCGCATGTGTAGTGCACACCAAAATGGCGAAGAGAGGCGCGGACAAGGAGCTCACTCAAGATAACTGGGATCAGGAAGAAGACGAAGAAGAAGTATTTAGTCTATTTTACATTTTTATGTTTTTTTAACATTCCTCATAGCTATGTTTCTGTTAGATTTGTTTTAGTGGCCCGAGGGCCGGTTACAAATGTACATTTGTTGCCGGCGTGGCGCGCAATTTCCTTAACCACTCAAGAACGTCAAATTACCAAAGTTCGCTCATGTTACTTAAACGTTGTTATTTCACAGGTTGGTCATTTCAAAGTTGCAACTTCTGAGGATCTAAGCAAGAGGAAGTGAGTAAAGAAAATAAAGTTAAAATAAGACTTGTGTTGTGCAGTAACTGCCCATTTTGTTGTTGAAAATCTGTTTTACTGAGTTACCGGTAATGCACTTAGTAGACTAGGTAAAATTTCCTATTTTGTTAATTTTGTATTGAACAGAGCTTTTATCTTTTCAGTAAAGAAAACAGTTCAGGACTAACTTACAGTTTCCCTCTTCAATACACACTGTAGCAGTATCATTAGATAGTGTTATACCACTTATCATCTTGCCTCTTATCTTTAATCCTTTGACCCCTCTGAGTGACTAGCATCTAATTTCTCTTTGCAATAACATCCCTGAAGCATACATTAAGGTCATGAGAATTTAGGAAATGATCACCAACTCAAGAAGCTCTTGATTCTTCAACAAATTCTCCTTGTCAGCACCATAGGAAATTTATGGAGAACAGTATGGGAATATGCTCACTGATGTTGGGGTATAAAGGGTTAAAGTCATGAAACAGGCTAGTGAAAGCTATTTATACTCAAGCTTGCTGTCTGTCAAAAACTTTTAATTATGCATCGGTCCTTATTGTTGTTTTGTTATCAGAATAATCAAGGCTAAACGACGTATGAACACTGCGGATAATCAGGTACTTTGTATTTTAGGAGTAGACCTGTCAGAGTGCTCTCTGGCAAACTCTTGGATGTTTTTATGTATGTATGTTTTTGTTTTTTTGTGTGTGCAATATTTAGACAAGCTGGCTCAGTTCAGCTCAAAGCTGTTTAAATGGGGGCCAGTAGAAACAATAACAAAGTCAGACCAAAACACCAGGAGCTACGTTCCCTAATCTTTGTGAGAAATGTGTGTGTTTTTCAATTTCTCCTAGTGGATAATCTGTACTTGGACTGTAAGTGGTCCACATAGATAAATTACAGTCAATCCAACATAACTTATTTTACCTCAACAGCAGGGTTATTAAAAAGATTGATCATGAAATGTACCATTTGCCAGCTTATTTTGTCAACCCTTTCTACAATGTTGTTGTTAGATTGATAGTTAGTCATAATCTGCTGGAAATTAAGCTGGTACCTTATCCAGTTTAACAAATTTGTTTGCTGAACATGTTGTTAGAGTGATCAGCATCAAATTCCTGCTCACAATATCAGAGCAATTAAGGATCATGAGAATTAAGGAACTGGTCACCAAAAAAAAATTTGCTAACCTTAAACAATTTTCACAGTAACTGCTGTAAGAAAATGCATGGAAACCACAGAGCAAGAATTTTTATCTTGACTATGGGGCTAAAGGGGTAAAATTAATTGTTCTTGTTTCAGCAGGGTAAAGGGGTTTTCCAAGGATTCTCTGGTTTTGGCAGTTTAAATAACAATGCCACAGATTTTGGAACCAGCACACCTGCCACCAAACCACTAACAGGTTTCTTTAGTCTGGCCTCAAGTTCAAAAAATATGTTCAGTGGTTTGAACAAGCCAACAACAGAAGCATCATCCAGCAATCAAAATGGCTGCAAATCTAACTCATCTGAGGAGTCAAAGACAACCAAAGCTCAGGGAAGTTCCTATGAGGATAATCTGAAGGCCCTCAATGAAAGCATTGTTGCCTGGATCCAAAAGCACCTTAACACAAATCCATTTGTTGATTTATCTCCAATTTTCGATGATTATAAGCAACACATGAAGAACATTGACTCAAAGTTTTCAAATTCAACAACAGCTGCAGCAAATTCATCATCAACAAAGTCAGTGACATTCAGCGCATCTTCTCAACCTGCAGAGAGCTCATTTTCACCATTCAGTGGTCCTCCTCCTCCTCCTCAAGCATCACAAGAAACACAAGGAAACAAATCAAATACTTTAAATACAGGTGAGAATAATTTATTTTGCATAATCTGTTTACAATGGATTTGCTCCTTAGGGGGTCACTGGGTATCAAGAACTGCTTATCTTACAATTCACTATCCCATCTTTTGTGCAAAACAACTCAACACGAGTCCTTTAACTTTCTGCAGTGATATCTGGTTTTGGAATTTAAAAAAAAAAGATAAACACTGGTTGTTGGTTCTACCCCCACCAAAGTGAAAATGGTATAGCATTACAAAGATTGCAAGAGAATGATATGATTTATCAAGCATAGAGATTTACCATAATCTATTTCACTCTGAAGCCAACAGTGATCCTTTATCTTGCCCATCATTGACACAGATTGTATTTCAACAGAATGTTATTGCAGTAGTATAAATCAACAGTCTATAAACAAGATGAAGTCTTTGCTGCAATTGATTTAAAAGAAATCCAGTCAAATTTAACTCCTCTGCTCCCTGTGCCTTTGCCAGCGGGTTTGCATGAATATATCCTTTACCTTTTGGAGTGAATAGGGCTTCAATTTGTAAGTACTGTGGTTGGCTGAGTGCTGTCATACTCTTTTGATGAAGCTAGTTTTATTATACAACTAATTTTAGAGATTTTCTGTTGTTTAATTGTAGAAGCTCCAAGCTCAGAGACAAGTGCTGCAGAGAGTCAGCCTGGAACATCAGGGGAAGAGAATGCAGAGGAAGAAGTTCCTAAACCAAAAAGGTGATCAAGTCATGAATAGTAGAATATCTCAGAGTGGAGTAAACTTCTCTTTTTTTTTTTGTTATGGAAAGGTTCTTCTTTTTAAGAGGTATTGTTTTTTTTGTCTGTTTGGTTACAGACTGTTGTCTCCTATGATACTGTGAAACCCTAGTGGGACTCCAAGGGAGTCATACAGTGTGTGAATCAATATAGATTTGTATAAACTGTGGTGTTTAACAAGGAATTACAGCCCTTAGAATAGCCATAACTGGACATTTGTAAATTGACAATAGTTTTTACATGTGTTGGATATTGCCACATAGCTGCTGTCGCGTCACTGGCCTCTCATGACACTCTCTCAGGTTGATGAAAAAAAATGCATCCATCATTCTCATTCAACTGATGAAATAAACTTTTCTTGTAAGTGAAGGCCAGTGGTGTTTAGATAATCGTGTTTTAATCTATAATTATCTCACTCATTCCCTGCACTCATGTATGAGTTTTCTAGTTGAACATTCAAAGAGAAATTCCACGTCACACATGTTTTATTCTCTATCATACCATATCTCTGTTTCATCTTTGTTTAAATGGTGGAGATTGTTGCTTTTTTGTTAAATGTTGTTTTTGTAAAATTGGATTTGACGATATAGACATTATCCCTGACTAATAATGTGTTATTTTTGCTCACATTTTATTCCAGTGTTGTGGTAGCTGAAGAAGGAGCTTTCCATTCCATCAGGTGCAAGCTATTTTTTAAGCGTGAATCATCTTGGGTTGAACTGGGAATTGGGATGCTGAACTTGAAGAAACTTGAAGGAAAAACTCAATTGCTGGTGCGGAATGATACAGCCCTTGGAAAAATAGTGTTGAACGTGTATCTGGCAGAAAACACTCCAATCAGTAGATCAGGGAAGAACAATGTAATGTTAATATCTGTTCCAAATCCTCCACTCTTCTCCAAAGATGCTGAAGGAGACAACAGCAAACCTGCAACATATTTAATTAGAGTGAAAACGAGTGAAGATGCAGATGAACTTTTCAAAAAAATGGAGACAAACAAAACTTAAACAAATTAACAATGCTTACTTTTTGATACAAAGTGGACAAAGTTTGCACAGTTTTAAAACCTTTTTTTTTTTTTAATACACTTGGCATCACAAGATGATTGCCTTAGGAAAGAGCTTATTTTTAGTTGTAGAACAGGCCATGAATAAAATTGTTAATTTGAAAAGTCACTTTGGAGAGTTAGCCTGAATCTTCATGTCATTTTGAGTGTCACATTAACTTTCCAGTCAAAAAGTTTTTTTTTTTTGTTTATCATGTGTAAAATTTTACTTTTTTCTGTGTATCAGTTCAAGTGCACTTAAAATTTCCCCAATTTTGTTTCCATGTAAGTGAACCTGATGATGTTGTGGAAAAGAATCCATTATAATTCAAGCATTTTTTCATTGATATTTTAATTTCATCCTCTCTGAAGTATTCTTTTAATTTAAAAATAAACTGAGCTTTTTTATTATTTTGTTTTTTTTTCTAATGTATTTTGTAACTACCATTTGACATTGGCAAGTGCTCTGAGAACAGGCACCCTTGTATTGTCACTAGAAAAGAGTGAGTTGGCTTGGTAGGAAGCAAAGTTAATTCTGATCCCTGGCAAGGCAAGTTAGCCAACACCTGATGTTAGCTTGCCAAAGCAAGCCAGGAAAAGAAAAATTCCAAAGAGCAAGGAAGTTCTCATTAACTCACTTTATTCTTAGTCTACTTGTCTGGACAATTTTATTTTGAGTTTACAAATGTAACAGAAATAGTATTCAGGTCTAGCACTAGAGGTGAGTGTCCAAGAATGGTTTTGGCATACAATGTATTACAAATCTTCAGCCTTAGTTTGGTTGATATGTCACTGGTTTATCAAACATATTGACTGATGTTAATGCACTTTGTTGATGTAAACACATTGGCTTTTCCAAATTGTGGAGGTCTATGTACTTCCATTAACTTCTGGTGAATAATTAACCCTTCAAGTCCTATTAGTGACCTAGACAGAATTTCTCCTTACAGTACAACATCAAGTGGACAAGTAATGAGAGTAAAGAAAAATATCAATAAGGGGATTATTGTTTGATCCAATTCCAAATTCTCCTAGCTAACACTTGAATTACATGGCAGACAGTAAGGAGAATTACTAATGAAATCTTGGGAGTTATATTACCCCTTTAACCCTTGGGAGTTAAATTAACTCCCAAGATCTGATTGGTAATTCTGCCCTCTAGCTGCTACACATTTCCTTGTAAATTAGTTATGAGAATTTGGTGCTAGATCAAGGTAACTTCTACCAGATTAGTTAAAACATTCTCATTAGCTGTTTGCTGGATAATGTAAGGATATTTAGAGAAGTTTCATATTGGTCACTTCTGGGAGTTAAAGGGTTAAGTATTCTCCTGACCATCGATGTAGTATACCAATCTCTCTGGAAATTCATGACTTAACCTTCAATGTAGTAGTAACCATACTTTGAATCCTTTGTCTTAACAATACCTACATGCCACACATTTCACTGCACATACAGTGAGAATCTACTGTTATGTCAAACAAAAATATCCTTTAGCCACTAGTAGCTTTTCTGTCCAAAGGCAATGTGATGAAAACAATATTGTTAATCATTTTAGCCTTATTGAGTGAACACACCAGGAGACCTGCAACCACTACCTGGGGTCTGGAGTCTAGTCCTGTGGTGTGCCCTACAACTGAGCTCTACTATTTGGGGGAATGAAGCAATCTGTCACTTCTCATTGAATTTAAAAGACAGGTTCCTTTGTAATAATCCATTCAATGCTGTTGCAGTCCTTAAGAACAAAGTATTCAGCATGCCAGCATGAAAGTGCTGACACCATGAGTTAAGGAGCATTTTTCCTCATTACTCACTAACTCCCAAGATTTTATTAGTAACTATCCTTGGCATCTGTCATACAGTTCTTGTGATGCTAACTTGGAGAATTTGGTATTGAATCAATTTATAATCTCCTAATTGATATTTTTCTTTCTTCTCATCACCAAACTGGTTGATATTATATTGATATTGTAAGGACAATCAGGGGAGTTGAAAGGTTAACCCTTTACACTCTAGGAGTGATTAGCATCTAACTTCTCCTTGCTGTATCACCTGTGAATCACACATTAAGGTCACGATAATAGAGAAAATGATCACCAATGAAAGATGCTCTTGATTGTTAAACAAATTCTCCTTGAAAGCACCTCAGGAAATGTATAGAGAACAGTATGGAGAATATGCATACTGATGTTAGGGTGTAAAGGGTTGAGACACATGGTACCCTTGGCATTGTCAACCCTAACTGGGCATGGCAGCTTATTAAGTTAAAGACCAGTGTTTGGTAGAACTACTGCAAGAATATATTACTTTCACAATTTCCAATGATCAACCCTGTCACTCAAATATGTCTCCACTCCCAACATCAACTGTTTTTGTCCAATTCTACAGCTTGTCAAGAAATTCAATTATCCTTGCATTGAATTCCTCTGGGTTGTCAAGGTAGCATGCATGCTTTGCATTCTTCATCATAAAAACTTCACTATTAGGAATGTTCTTAATTAATGGAAAAAACGGTTTAAAATTTTTGTCCAACTCGCCATAAACTATCAGAGTTGGAAGATTCAGCTTCCTAAGGTCGTTCTCTTCATATTTAGCAACAGCTCCTGGTGCAACTGGAATAAATCCCCTTATCTTTATCCTGAGATCCTTTTCCATTAACGCCGGCAACACGTACGAACCACTCATCGAAGGTGCCACTAAAACTGGCCTGTCTACACCAAGATTCTCTATCAAACTAGACACAAAATTTACTTTCTCATCTTCATCTGAAGGAGCCTTTACAGATTCTGAGTGACCATGTCCTGGCAAGTCCACAGCGATGGCTTTGTAACTTTTGGCAGCCAACGCCTTCAAAGTTCCGATGTTATCCCAATTTTCGGACGTGAACAACTGTCCATGCAGCAGTATAACTGTAAATCGGCTGTTTTCTGATACCTGAGGTACGACTTCTTTGTAGTATATTTGATCCTTAGTACGATCCTTAGTATTCCACGTGAAATATTTACCAACAGCACTCTCTTCTGCTTGTTTTTTAGCTGCAGATTTAGGCCAGGCCTTCCAAGGAGAAGAATAATACAGGAAAAATGCTACAGAGAAAATTACCAGCAGAGCGATTAAAACATTCCATCTCACATTCACATTAAGGGCCAAATTCGCCATTTTGACCGTCAAATCATAGTAAGCCTGGACACCAACGTTTATCAAAATCGTGTTTCCAAGGTTATTCACGATCTCCTTAAACTTCCATCAGTAGCCGAAGGGCTCCTACTTCAGAATATTTAAAGTGCTTGAAAGACAAACAACCTTTTTCCATAGAAGCATGAAAATAACCGCCATAGAAGGCCTAATTCCTCCAATGAGGCCCCCCTTCCCCTCCCTACCCATCTGGTAAAGAAAAAATATATATTTTTCTCCTTTAAACAGTTGAACATATTTAGACATGATAAACATTGTTTATGTATATTTATTCTCATGTGATGATTTTCTTTTAGTCGTATTTGAATCATGAAAACGAACATGAATATTAATTCGAACAGGTGTTCTTTTGTTTCTCCAAACATTGTAAACGCTGAATTCTCTGTATCAGATGAAAAAAAAATTAAACTTAAAACATCTCTATAGCGAGATAAAACAAACAGCGGAACGGACCGATTTAAAATAGGTACGCTAGAAATGCTGTGAGATTAGGCGGGGGAGGGGGGGGGGGGAAGTGGATACAACTGACTGTGTGGCGGAGGGTAGAGTCAAAAGCAGCAAATATCGAACGTCACACTTGAATGCGTACGTGATGTCTAGCGCACTTCTTGTCCCGTTGGCTGCAAAACCAGCGGACCATATGAAACGGGGAAGACTTTCTTCCTTCAGGATCAATTGGAGAGTTACCATTGGAATTTTTTTAGCCTTCACGGTAGTTTCAGTGTACTATCTATCAACGCCGAGCGCAATGGCATCTCGTGGATATCTTGAATGGGAAGGAAACGACAATGGAATATTTTATCGCGAAGATGCACCCGCAAATGGCGGACGTTTCACCGTGATATTTCTTCACGGACAAGCGTTTTCTTCGCAAACTTGGGACGATCTTGGTACGTTAAAGTTCCTATCCTCGCATGATTACAGAGTAGTGGCTGTTGATTTGCCTGGTTTTGTGAAATCTAAAGATGCTGAACAGCCAAGAACTTCTGAAGGACGAAGTGTGTTCCTAAAAAAGTTTATAGAGAAACTGAAAATCGATCGTCCTGTTCTGGTGTCACCCTCTATGAGCGGGTCATACTCTCTACCTTTTATTTTCCAAGGTGATCAAGGGAAACATTTACGAGGATATGTTCCCGTGGCCCCAGTTGGTACCGATAAATACGAAGAATCAGACTACAAAAGCCTTCAACTACCCACTCTTATTTTCTATGGCGAAAATGACTCGACTCTCGGAGCTTCGTCGCTGAGAAGGCTCCGAAATATTCCCGATAGTGTTATTCATATGATGAAAGATGCGGGACATGCTTGCTATATGGCAAACCCGGAAGAATTCCATGAAAAGTTGCTCAGTTTTCTTAACAAGTTGTGAGAATTGTTACTCATGACAGGTCAAGTAGTTAAAATAGAGCATCTTTCTACTCGGACTTCCCCCCAGTACTTAAATGAGCGGTTACATGGAATTTTGGCTGTTTGTGCAATTATTACCGGGTGAGCACCCACTATATTATGCGGGGTTTCCTTACCCAAATCCTTTTACTCCTAAGATCTGATTGTTGATTCTCCCCACAGGCTCCTGCACATTTCCTTGTGAACAAGTTACCAGAACTTGGTGTTAGATCAAGATAACAACATGTACCTAATAAGTTTGAGTATTCTCATTACCTGTTTGCTGAATGATGTATTATTGACAAATCATTTAATGAAAAGCTTCCAACTTAACCCTTTAATCCTTAAGAGTGACCAGCATCTAATTTCTCCTTACAGTATCACCCCTGAATCAAACATTAAGGTTATGAGATAATGGAAATGATCAACAAATATAGGAGCTCTTGATTGTTAAGCGAAATCTCCTTGCTAACACCTTAGGAAATGTATAGAGGACAGTATAGAGAATGTGCATGCTGACCTTAGGGTGTAAAGGGTTAACCCCCTAAAACTGCAAGATCTGACTGTTAGTATTAGTATTCCCTTCAAGCTGCTACTTATTTCCTTGAGATTACAATAGTCCAAAAATTTGAGATTAGATTAAGATAACAAACTCTACCTGTGATAAATTGGAGTGTTCTCATGACCTGTTTGCTGATTAATCTTCTCTGAGAGTCCAACCCTTAAACTCACAGATCAAATTTGTAATCCTCCTTACTGTCAACCAAACAATTTGTATAATTTTAGTTCAGAGAATTTAGTATTGGATCAACTAATTATTGCCAAATTGATATTTTTCTGTATTCTCATCACTTATCTGGTTGATATTGTATAGATATTGAAAGGAGAAATTCTGTCTTGGTCACTCATGGGAGTTAAAGGGATAAGGGTGGATGTGTGCTTGTGAAAGTAAGGCATTGCATCTTGACTTTTCATGCTTTTGATCCACTGATGAGATCAGATTCATAATGTAGATAGCTTTTTAACTTGTGCAACTATAGAGCAAACCCAAAGCTTATTAGAGGTAATGTATAATGAAAGGGGGGGGATGTTGTCCCAAGGACCTAAAAATCATATTTATTAGTCTCAACATTTTTTATCTATTTAACCCTTTACACCCTAACATCAGTATGCATATTATCCACACTGCTCTCTATACATTGCTTAAGGTGCATGCCAGCAGAATTTCTCT